TGAGACAACCTCAGCTTGGACTTCATTGTCCACATCACTATCAGCATTCTGGAGAGAACCATTCAACAAGTCTCTAGGAAGCTCCAAACACTTCCACATCTTCCTGTCTTCTTCTGAGCCCTCCAAAGTATTCCAATCTCTGCCTGTTACCAAGTTCCAAAGTCACTTTCACATTTTCAAGTATCTCTATAGTAGTACCCCACTTCTGGTACCAATTTACTGTATTAGTCCATTCTTACACTGCTATAAAAAAATACCTGAGACTGGGTAATTTATAAAGGAAAAAGGTTTAATTGGCTCACAGGCTATAGAGGTCTCAGGAAACTTATAATCATGGCTGTAGGAAAAGGGGAAGGAAGGACCTTCTTCACATAGTGGCAGGAGAGAGAAGGGCAAGCAGAGGAAATGCCAGATGCTTATAAAACCATCAAATCTCATGAGAACTCAACTGCACAGTATCACAAAAACAGCATGGGGGAAACCACCCCCATGATCCAATCACCTCCTCCCTCCACACTTGAGGATTACAATTCAAGATGAGATTTGAGTGGGAATACAGAGCCCAAACCATATCAGATATTGACAAAATGATTATAAAGTCTATGTGAAGAGGCAAAAGACCCAGAATAGCCAGTACAATATTGAATGAGAAGAACAAAGTTGGAGGACTGACACTACCAGACCTCAAGACTTATATAAACCTACAGTAATTAAGACAGCATGATATTGGCAAAAGAATATATAAATATAATAGATCAATAGAATAGTATAGAGAGCCCAGAAGCAGACCCTCATAATATAGTCAACTGATCTTTGACAAAGGAGCAAAGGCAATAAAATTGACAAAAGATAGTATTTTCACCAAATGGTGTGGAACTGGACATAAAAAAAAACGAATCTAGACACAAACCTTACACCCTTCACAAAAATTAATGCAAAATGGATCACAGCCCTGAATGTAAAGTGTAAAACCAGAAAACTCCTAGAAGATAACATAAGAAAAAAAATCTAGATGACCTTGTGTTTGGTTATAACATTTTAGATATGACACCATAGGCAAGATATATGAAAGAAAAAAATGATACATTAGAGTCCATTAAAATTAAAATTTTTTTGCTTTATGATACACACTGTCAAAAGAATGAAAATATAAGCCACAGACTGGAAGAAAACATTTCCCCAAGCTATATCTGGTTAAGGAATGTTATCAAAAACATACAAAGAACTCTTAACAATAAGAAAATAATGAGTTATTTTCATGTAACATGGGCCAAAGAACTTAACAGACAACTCACCAAAGAAGAAACACAGATGGCAAAGAAGTATATGAAAAAATGCTCTACATCATATGTTATCAGGGAATTGCAAATTGAAACGACAATGAGATACCATTATATATCTATTAGAATGACCAAAATCCAGGACCCTGACAATACAATGCTAATGAGGATGTGGAGCAACAGGAGCTTTTATTCACTTATTGGTGAGAATGCAGAGTGGAACAGCCACTTTAGAAGACAGTCGGGCAGTTTCTCACAAAACTAAACATACTTTTAACATATAATCCATCAATCTCACTCCACGCTATTCACTCAAAGGAGTTGAAAACATACATCCACACAAAAACATGCACACAGACATCTATAAAAACTTTACTTATAATTGCTAAAACTTGGAAACCACCAAGATGTCCTTCAATAGGTGAATAAACTGTGGTACATTCAGGCAATAGAATATTATTCAGGGCTAAAAAAGAAATGAGCTATCAAACCATGAAAAGACATGAGTAAAATTTAAAAGCGTATTACTAAGTGAAAGAAGCCAATCTGGAAATCTGGAAAGGCTACATAGTATGTGATTTCAACTACAGTCATGTACCACATAACATCTTGGCCAATGACAGAATGCGTATATGACAGTGGTCCCATAAGATTATGATGGAGCTGAAAAATTCCTATTGCATAGTGACATCATAGCTGTTGTAACATTGTAGCACAATACATCACTCAGGTGTTTGTAGTGATGCTGGTGTAAAGAAACGTACCACACTATCAGTTGTATAAAAATATAGCCCAGTTATGTACACTACATAATACTTGATAACTAAAAACTATGTTACTGATTTGTGTATTTAATATACTATATTTTATTGTTATTTTATAGTATACTTCTTCTACTTATAAACAAAGTTAATTGTAAAATAGCCTCAGGCAGGTCCTTCAAGAGGTATTCCAGAAGAAGGAATTGGTATCAGAGGAAATGACAGCTTCATGTATGTTATTGCTCCTGAAGACCATCCAAGTGTGGAGGTAGAAGGCAGTGATATTAATGATCGTGACCCTGTGGAGGCCTAAGCCAATATGTTTTCTTGTGTCTTAGTTTTTTAAAAAAAGTTTTAAAGTTAATAAAAAACAGAAAAAGCTTATAACGATATAAAGAAAGAAAATATTTTTGTTCAGCTGTACCATGTGTTTATGCTTTAAGTATTATTATGAAAGGGTCAAAAAGGTTTAAAAACTAAAAAGTTTATAAAATAAACACGTTACTGTAAACTAAGGTTAACTTTTTTTTTTTTTTGTTGCCCAGGCTGGAGTGCAATGGCGTGATCTTGGCTTGCTGCAACCTCCGCCTCCCGGGTTTAAGCAACTCTCCCACCTCAGCCTCCCGAATAGCTGGGACTACAGGTGTGTGCCACCATGCCTGGCTAATTTTTGTATTTTTAGTAGAGAGGGGGTTTCACCACGTTGGCCAGACTGCTCTCAAACTCCTGACCTCAAGTGATCCACCCATTTCTTGGCCTCCCAAAATGCTGGGATTACAGGCATGAGCTACCACACCTGGCCAGGTTAAACATTTTTTTAGAAATTTGGTGTGTAGCTTAAGAGGACAGTGTTTATAAAAATCTACAGTAGTGTATAGTAATGCCCTAGGCCCTCACATTCACTCACCACTCACTCACTGACTCACCCAGAGCAACTTCCAGTCCTGCAAGCTCCATTCTTAGTAAGTCCCCTATACAGGTGTACTATTTTTTCTTTTCTTTCTACTGTACTTTTTCTGTTTATGTACACAGATACCATCATATTATAATTGCCTACAGTATTCAGTATGGTAATATGCTGTACAGGTTTGTAGCCTAAAAGCAATAGGCTATCATATAGCTTAGTTGTGTAGTAGGCTATGTCATCTAGGTTTGTGTAAGTACACTCTGTGATGTTCGCACAGTGATGAAATTGCCTAATAACACATTGCTCCGAATGTATCTTCATCAAACTGTACATGACTTTCTGAAGGAGTCAAAGCTATGGAGACAGTAAAAATGATAAGTGATTTCCGGGGTTGTGGGGAGATAAGGTAGAGCACAGAGGATTTTTAGGGCAGTGAAACTACTCTGTATAATACTATGATGATGGATATATGTCATTATACATCTGTCCAAACCTTTAGCATGGACAACACCAAGAATGAAACCTAAAGTAAACAACTGACTTTGAGTGATTATGATGTGTCAATGAAGATTCATCATTTGTGATAAATGGACCACTCTGGCTAGGCATGTTGATAATGAAGGAGGTTGTGCATGTGTGGGGACAGAGGGTATATGGGAGATCTCTGTACCTTCCACTCAATTTTGCTGTGAATCTAAAACCGCTCTAAAAAAAATAAAGTCTTAAAATGAAACACAATAGCATTCATAATTACTCCAGAGAAAATTAAATCCTTATGTATACACTTACTAAAACATGTATAGGATATATATGTTAAAAATTACAAAAAGCTGATGAAAGAAATAAAAGACCAAAATAAGTGAAGAGACACATGTGTTATGTTCCTGGATTGAAAAACTCAACACATTGAAGGTATCGATTTTCCCAAATTGACATACAGGTTTTACATAATTCCTATAAAAATCCCAGTAAGTATCTCTTTAGATACATATAAGATCATTCTAAAATTTATACAAGCCCTTAGAACAGTTAAAAACATCTTACCAAAAGAAGAATAAAGTTGGAGGAATCACTCTACCTATTATAAAGTCTTACTATATAGCTAGAATAATTATGACAGTGTGGTATTGGCAGAGGGATAACTACATCAATGGCACAAAGAATAGCTAGAGAAACTGGTAGTAGACCCAAAACAATATGGTTAACTGACTTATGAAAAAATTTCGCAAGCCATTCAATCAAGGAAGGATGGGGTGGTTTTTTCGCCTTTTGTTTTAACAAATTGTGCTAGGTAAATTGGACATCTCTATCGAAAAAAAAAATAAATGAAGGTAGACCTAAATGTCATACTTTACACAAATATTAACTCAAAATGGAGCATGGGCATAAATCTAAAACTTCAAACTGTAAAACATTTAGAAAAAAATCATCAGGATCTAGTGTTAGTGGAAGAGTTCTAAAAGTGATCCATAAAATAAAAAAATAAATAAACTGAACTACATCAAAACTAAAAAATTCTGCTCTGTGAAAGACCTAATTAAGGGAACAAAAGACAAGCTACAGGCTGGAGACAATATATGTAATCCACATATCTATGAAAGGACTCATATCTAGAATATACAAACAACCTTAAGAATCTGACAGTAAAAAAAAAAAAAAAAAAAAAAAAATCAAATAAACTAACTGGACCACTCATACGTTGCTGATGGAAATGTAAAGTGCTACAGCCATTCTGGCAAACATCAGTGATCTCTTACAAAGATAAGACGTGTCCCAGTGATGAATTGTGCTGCTCCAGTAAAAGTAGCCACTATGCCTATCTCCATTCTGAAGATGTATCACTTCCTGTTTCAGCCTCAAATCAGCCACAGTGGCAGAAGCCCACAAAGTCAGAGGTGAAATTTAATAATGACCACTGCCCATTCTCTTCACTTGTCCCAAGAGGCCATTGGAAATAGTCCAAAGACCCATTGAGGGAGATGGACAGTATTTCCCAGAAGTAAATACAGCTCAGCTTGTACTTTGGTACAACTAATCGACCTTACCACTTGCACAATCAGCTAGCAAAGGTTATGCAGCGTGTGAACGTGATCATGGCAGAATCACCAGGCCTCATCACCATCTGCCTTTTAGGATATCTACTCAGTGCTGAATGTACAGGTTTGTTTCCTTTTTAAAAATACATTGAGTATGCTTGCCTTTTAGATATAGAAATATCTGATGCTGTCTTCTTCACTAAATTTTGATTACATGATTTGACAGCAATATTGAAGAGTCTAGCAGCCAGCATGCAGGTTGGTAAGTACTGGTTCTTTGTTAGCTAGGTTTTCTTCTTCATTTTTAAAACTAAACAGATCAACAATGCTTATGATGCATTTATGTTTAACAAACACTGTTCAGTTTATGATTTGGTCATGTAATTCCTGTTAGAAAACATTCATTTCTTTGGTTTAAAAAAATCAAAAGTGGGAAAACAAAGAAATAGCAGAATACAGTGAAAAAATTAACCACATTATTTTTTGTTTGGGCTTACCACTTTGAAATCAAAATAGGAAATGAAAGCACAATGGTCTTATTTACACAAAAAGTCTGATTTTAAGATACATGACATTTCAAGGTTTTAGAAGTATGTAATGAGGTATGTCTCTAATTTTTTAAAATATATATCTTCAATTTAAAGTTTTAGTTAAAACATAAAGATTAACCTTTCATTAGCAAGCTGTTAGTTATCACCAAAACTTTTCGTGGATTAGGAAAAAATCATTTTGTCTCTATGTAAAACATCTTGGAGTTGATATCTGGGGAAACACAATACTCAGTTGAGTTCCCTAGGGGAGAAAAGCAAGTCTAAGAATTGACATGAAGAGTAGGAAGTTAGCTAATGCAACATATATCACTTTGTTTTTTCACAACTAGTGACTTTATATATTCCCCAGAGGAAGGCATATGGGGAAGAAATTATCCCATTTGGACAAACAGCATGTTCTCACAGGAAGCATTTATCACACTTACTTGTCAACCTTCTAGAATCAAATCTAGTAGCTGACAGTACCAAGATCAGGGGTGCCAACCCTAAGCACCCCCAGAAAGCTGACTGGCCCTGTGGTTCCCACTCCAGACATGATGTCAGCTGTGAAATCAGACTGAAATGCTGAAATAATGATTAAAAAAATACAGAGGTTAAACTAGCAAAGTGAGTAAAGTCAAGGGATAAAGAAAATTTGTTGGAAAACTCACAAAGCAGGACATAAAGCAAGGTCATTAGACATATCTCATTAGTGTGACATCTGGGAGGACAAAGGATCCAAACCCTTTCTTCTATAGAAGTGGTGAGATGATCAAGGTAGAGGGCTTCTGCCTCCTTGAAGACTTCAGATGCTGGGGAAAGGATATATAAGAATAAAGATGAACCAGGCTTTTGGAGCAAGGGAAATAATGACTAGAGATAAACCTGAAGGGAAGTTAAATATATGATCCCCAGACAATACTAAGGAGAAAGGCAATGTGATTCTGCAGCCATTGTAGCCAGAGATAATAAGCCCTTGAGGAGGGGGCCAGGGGAATTTTTCTAAGGATGGACAGTATTAATGCAGCACTCTCTTCTGCTATTAAAACTCTCATTGGCTTCTAAAAGGAGTTTCTGTGAGTGATTTGCTGAGATGTTGCATTTTCATGGCTGCTGCCTTTAGGTATTATTGCAACAGTTTGGAATTTTGAAATTAAAACAGTTCTGCAAAACCAGTTTAGTTTTGTAAAGTGTATGCATCAAAGATGTCCTTCATTCATTCAGACATTACTGAGTTACAACTACAGTGCCAGGTACTGTGTCAGGGTATTAGGGGTATGGGGACAAACAAGACTCCCTCTTTGATCTAAAGCACCATGAGGCCAGGTGAGAAGTTTCAATATAATGTGATAAAATGTGCACCAGTTACCAAGGGATCATAGAGAAAAGAACATATTAAATGGGGACACACTTGATAGAGAGAAAGTATTTTCATCTGGGTCTAAAAAGATGAGGTGTTCTCTCTCTTTAAATGTCTGACATAAGGGCATTTTATGCAAAGAGGATCACTCATGTGCAAAGACTCAGATTTACAAGAATGTGAGGTATTTCAGGAGTTTTGTATGGTTCCATATGGAGTATGACAAGTGAGGCAGGTAAACTAGGCAGAGCTGGTCATCAGATAATGAAGGCGTTAACCTAAGGAGACTGGGCAATAAAATGCAATATGGAGGTACCAAAGTATAAACATAAGGAGTACGACTGATGGCTGATTTAGGATGCCCAGTCTGGCAACACTCTAATGAAATGATAGCTGGGGAGGGAGGCCATACCCAGACTAGGAGAGAGCAGTCTTGAGACTATTGCAATTATCTACGGGAGACACTAAGGCTGGAACCTGAACAGTACCTGTACAAAAAAAGGGGGGAGTTCAAATGATATTAAGGAAGTAGAAGTGGTATGACTTAACCATCTGGGTATGGGAGGAGAAATGGCTAGAGCCTTGGGCATTTTGTGTTTGATGTGATTATGGGCCACAGCATAATGTCTAGGAGAATTGGCTCGTTAGTCTGACTGCCAGAGTCTGAACCCTGATGTTTTAGGATTTTAGGTCTGATGTTTTAGTATGTTACCTTGGGCAAAGCCCTTAGCCTCTATGAATCTCAGTTTTCTTCATTTATAAAAATAAGATGATAGTGCCTATCTCGTGGGACTTTTGTGAGGATGAAGTGAGATAATGGATGCAAAGTTACTGAGCACAGTGTCCAACACAGCAGAAGCATTACATATACATCAGCTATTACTGGCTACATTATGATAATCGGTTAGGGAGTTAGAAAGATAATCTGAAATTCAGGAGACATATCTGACTATAGATGAGTATTTGGAACTCAGTGTTCTGTAAACAGTAGTTACAGCCACGTGTGTGGGCATCTAGAGAGTGAGCATGGATACTGTGATGCCTAGTACAGTGCCTGGCAGTAGTGGTTGTATGCTCAGTAAATTTTGTTAACAGGGTCAGGGCCGGACTAGGGTGTGGTAAGCAAGGCCTATAGGGCATAAATATACTTGTACACCCCGAGAAGTGAGGACCTCTTAAATATTGTGCCCTACGTGCCTTGTTTAGTTCACTCTTGTCCCAGCGCTGGCAAGTATGTATAAAGTGAAAAAGGAAAAAGCTGAGGCTGGAGCCTGGGAGAACCTTGGACTTCTCAGGGCCATGGAGGGGAACAGGAGTTAATCAATTCAAGTGCTGGATGGATAACAGGAGTTACAGCCAAGAGGGGAACTGGAATAGAGTGATTATTATAAAAAGAGTTTCCTAAAAAGGGAGAGATCAACAATTAGAAAATATTTAGAGCAGCCAGTAAATACATAAACTCAAAATTATTCTTTAGGTCATTTCGGATCGTGACAATAGTCATTTCATTATATAAATGTGATTAAGGAAGGAAAAGAGCTACACAAAAGTTATTAAAGAGCTAAAGAGAATGAAGAAATTTAAAATGGAAGAAAGTACGGCCAACATGAAAGGAGTAGGGAGAAAAAGAGAAAACCAGCATATTGTCTCACTGATCCTGTCAACACCTGTGAGGTAGATATTCTTATTATACTACTGTTAAACCTATTTTACATTTGACAAAGTTAAGGTTCAGAGCTTATGTGACTTGTCCAAGGTCACAGGTCTAGAGGAGGCAGATACTTGATTCAAACCTCTTTCTGTCTGATCTGATTCTAAAGTCTGTTTTTTCACTCAACCTCACTGTACAGTCAGTTCTCCCTGTGAGTTCCATAGCCACAGATTCAACTAACTGCGGATCAAAAATATTCAAGAAAAAAATGAGGCCGGGTGCGGTGGCTCAAGCCTGTAATCCCAGCACTTTGGGAGGCCAAGATGGGTGGATCACGAGGTCAGGAGATCGAGACCATCCTGGCTAACACGGTGAAACCCCGTCTCTATTAAGAAATACAAAAAACTAGCCGGGCGGGTTGGTGGGCGCCTGTAGTCCCAGCTACTCAGGAGGCTGAGGCCGGAGAATGGTGTGAACCCGGGAGGCGGAGCTTGCAGTGAGCTGAGATCCGGCCACTGCACTCCAGCCTGGGCTACAGGAGCGAGACTCCGTCTCAAAAAAAAAAAAAAAAAAAAAAAAAAGAAAAAAATGGATGGCTGCATCCCTACTGAATGTGTAGACTTTTTTATCTTTCATTATTCCCTAAACAATACAGCATAACAACTATTTACATAGCATTTACATTGTATTAGCTATTACGAGAAACCTAGAGATGATTTAAAGTATAAAGGAGGATGTGTTTAGATTATATGCAAATAGTAAGCCATTTTTATATCAGAGATGTGAGCACCCACAGATCTTGATATTTGCAGGGGGTCTTGCCACCAATTTTCCATGGATACTGAGGAACGACTGTAAATGGATGCAGGTATGGATGCTATTTAGGAGTGTCCAGGGCCAAATAAATGAGTTGCTGAGCAGAGAGGTGGGTGGAGGCTGTGAGGCATCAATATGTGGTGGCATCCATCTGCAGTTCGGTGGTTTTTTCCTTTATAGTCCTTGGCTGTCTGGGAAGAGAAGGATGAAGGCAGATGGCTGCTCAGATTTAGGGACTAGGATTGCAGGATAGGCACAGCATTGCAAAGAAGTGAAGGAAACAGAAATTTGGCAAATGAAGAGTTGAAGAGAGGCCTGGCATGGTGGCTCACACCTGTAATCCCAGCACTTTGAGAGGCCCAGGCGGGCAGATCACTCGAGGTCAGGAGTTTGACACCAGCCTGGCCAACATAGTGAAATGGTGAAACCCTGTCTCTACTGAAAATACAAAAATTAGCTGGGCATGGTGGCAGGCACCTGTAATCCCAGCTACTCGGGAGGCTGAGGCAGGAGAATAGCTTGAACCTGGGAGATGGAGGTTGCAGTGAGCTGAGATCGCACTGCTGCACTCCAGCCTGGGCGACAGAGCAAGACTCTGTCTCAAAAAAAAAAAAAATGTTGAAGAGAAAAAGTCTAGGCTAAATTCAAAGACAAAAAGTGAGCCCAAAAGGAACCTGAAGGGCAGGGAAAAGCAGGGATGTCAAGGGACTAGAATACTCCATAAAGTGAACAGCTGCAACGAAAATAAGGGAAGAAAGTTTAGTTCATCTCCGTTGCTTTCCTTTCCTTTTTACTTTCCTTTATCTTCCTTTTTGGAGTTAATCAGGAAGTAGTCCCAAATACCCCAGAAAGTTCATCTTATAAGCCCTTGGTCCTCTTGAGATGGTATCAGATATATTGCTAGGCCCTTGAAGAAAGGAACAACTCCAGCAACTTCTTGAGTCCCTGTTATTAATCTTATACATACACACACATATATGTATATACATGAAAACACACAAACACGTGTGTGTGTATACAGCCATGCATTCCTTAACAATGGGGACATATTCTGAGAAATGTGTCATTAAGCAATTTCATCATTGTGCGAACATAATAGAGTGTACTTACCTAAACCTAAATGGTATAGCTTACTACATACCTAGGTTATATTTACGTGGCCTATTGCTCCTAGGCTCCTAGGATGCAAACCTGTACAGCATGTGACTGTACTGAACACTGTAGGCAATGGCAACAGTGGTATTTGTGGATTTAAATATAGAAAAGGCACAGTGAAAATACAGTATAATAACCTTACAGGGCCACTGTCATATAATGTCATCATTGACCAAATGTCATTATGCAACAAATGATTATCATATATATGAGATATATATATGTGTGTATAGATACATGTATATATATTTATGTCATTATGCAACAAATGATTATCATATATATAATATATGTGTGTGTATATGTATACGTGTATATATACACATGTATACGTGTGTGTGTATATATACACACACACACACACATACATACACAGAGAGAGAGAAAGAGAAAGAGAGAGAGAGGAGAGAGGAAGGAGGGAGGGAAGGAGAAAGATAATTCAGATAGAGACATCAATCCTAAAGGGTTCAGGAATGTCTCTACAGACTAGGTAGATGTAGCTTAAAAAAACCACACCCTGAATTCTAGAGAGATGTTCAGATCACTGCAATTCCTATTATAACCTTATGGGACCACTGTCATATAATGTCATCATTGACCAAATGTCATTATGCAACAAATGATTATCTCATATATATATATATGATATGATATATATGATATATATGTGTGTGTGTATATATATACACACACACACATAGAGAGAGAGAGAGAGAGAAAGAGAGACAGAGGAGAGAGGAAGGAGGGAGGGAAGGAGAAAGATAATTCAGATAGAGACATCAGTCCTCCAGAGTTCAGGAGTGTCTCTACAGACTAGGTAGATGTAACTTAAAAAATCCACACCCTGAATTCTAGAGAGATGTTCAGATCACTGCAAGTCCTATAACACTTGCCAACCAACAGTGCTGTTGATCTGAAATTGCTTTTTCAAATTAATGCAGTGGTTTTTCTTTAACATCTAGTCACAGACATTGGGGTCACATTTGCAGCTGGACCATAATTAGGCTTCTGTTCTTCAGGAAACATTTGTTCAAAGTCATTTGGGCAACCATATTCTGAAAACAGCCCAGCCAGGGTGATGGATCACCTTGCAAGGATCCGCAATGAGCTATTTTCAAGTGATGACAAAGTGTGAAGTTAACTGCTCATTTGAGAACTTTCTTTTTCATCCAAAGTAAATTCAAATACGATTAGAAATCTGACCTTTTATTACTGGAACTCTCCTAAAAGTAAAATTGAATTTTAATTCCTAAATCTCCATGTGTATACAGTACTGTGGGAACATTACAGATTTTGGCTCCATGCCCTAAAGAGAAATTGGCTTTGGGATTATTTGTATTAAAAACAAAGTCTTTCTTAAGAGATGTAAAATTTTCATGATGTTTTCTTTTTTGCTAAAACTAAAGAATTATTCTTTTACATTTCAGTTTTTCTTGATCATGAAAATGCCAACAAAATTCTGAATCGGCCAAAGAGGTATAATTCAGGTAAATTGGAAGAGTTTGTTCAAGGGAATCTTGAGAGAGAATGTATGGAAGAAAAGTGTAATTTTGAAGAAGCACGAGAAGTTTTTGAAAACACTGAAAAAACAGTGAGTATTTCCACATAATACCCTTCAGATGCAGAGCATAGAATAGAAAATCTTTAAAAAGACACTTCTCTTTAAAATTTTAAAGCATCCATATATATTTATGTATTATAAATGTTATAAAAGATAGGGAATCAATACCAAAACACTTTAAATATTACCATTAATTTGTCTTCTTTTATTCTTTATAGACTGAATTTTGGAAGCAGTATGTTGGTAAGCAATTCATTTTATCCTCTAGCTAGTATATGAAACATTTGAGAATGATGTGGGTTTTTTCTCTGCATAAATAGACAATATATTAAACTTTGCCAAAGAACCCAGAAAGATCAGTCCAACCCTCTAACCCAAATTGAATGGTGATATACTACAGGGTTATGCCAGTGTGGGAACTATTGCTGGTAAATAAGTTTAATCCTCCCTAGGTCTTCACAAAGAACATTGTTCCACCCCAGGAAGGTGGAAGGAAGAGACTGAAATGATTGTGTCTTAGGACCTGATGAAAGTTTGCATTCCTCAGTAAAATCAGAGAATGCTGATTGACTTAAATGTTTATAGCTTCCAAGTCCTCCTCATTATCATGGCCTCCAAACCCCTCCATGATTGTCCTTCCTCACCCTCCCCATTACCCTTTTTGCCTCCTCTGCTACTTCTCTCCTCGCACACTGGGCTCCAGCCACCCTGATCTTCCTGCCACTTCTTGCACACTCTAGGAATGCTCCCACTTTAGAGGCTTTATCTGGCTGTTTCTCTTATCTGGCTGTTCCCAACTTCCTGTGGGCTGGCTCCCTCACCTCCTTCAGGTCTTTGCCCAAATGTTACCATCTTAATGAGGCCTACCTTCACCATCTATGAATACTTCAACCTGTCCCAGTAGCCTTACCACTCCAGACACCTGTACAGTACCCCACTCTATTTTTTAACAGAGCTTTTCACCATCTAATGTATCATATAATTTCTTATTCATACTATTTATCATTTATTTTTCCCTACTCCACTAAAATGCAAGTTTCATGTTGGCAGGGATATTCAATTGTTTTGTTTATTGATATATTCCTAGCACCTAGAACAGTATCTGGAAAAGAGGTACTCAGTAAATATTTATCAAATGAATTGACCAAAAGAAGGAAAACTCAAAACTTTAATAACAACTAATTTTAAAACTACAATAACTTAAAATTCAGCAGTAGGATTTTGAGGGAGGGTAAGTTTCAAAGATTGACTTACCTAGGACTGTCTGCATAAATAAAAAGAAATTAATCCAGATATCAAATTCACCAACTTCCATCAATTGGAAATTCAATTCTATTTCCTACAGTTTATGTTCTGGAGATACTACTGGACACTCTTTTACTCTGGTAACTCATAATTCCTCCACTTTTGTTTTTAAATCATGAGAGAAAAATAGTTGACTCTGTTACATTGTTTTATCTAACTTTTCTTGATCTTAGAAATGAATACTACCATGCCAACTTCTACTGAGGTGCCCCCTAAAGTTAGTCCAAATAGGTCTTTGTAATCTCCATTCCGGCAGAATTTAGAACTTTGAATCACATGATTTATTTCTAAAAGTAAATCCATGACTATTTTCCCCACCAAAAAATTCCTGACAATTAAACTCCTACAATCCCTTCATTGCTCACTCCTCACCCCCAGGATCATATTTTAAAGTTGGTCCCTTGCCTTTTGGGCCACATAGGTACGCTGTTTGCTATACCACAGGTATAGCTATCTGGAAAACATGGAGGGCATTATTCTTTCACTACTGCTTCATCAACCAAAAAATAGAACAACAAAAACAAGAACAAAAAGGAAACAAACTCCCTGCCTCTTTTCACTTGCAGTTGAGATTCCTAACCACTACAAAATTAGCCTATGTTTCTTCTCGCACACAGTAGAAACTCAGGCTTCTCACTGCTGTGTTATTCTGTACCATCAACTCACCACATAGAGAGCCTGGTTGAAGAAGAATGATTGTAGAACCACATTACTAGCATCCGTCAAGGACTTTCCAGTTTACAAAAGGCCTATCACATTTAACCCTCACACCATCCTTGTGACCAAAGCATTATTAACTCCATTTCACAGGAGAGTAAACTGAAGCTTAGGGAAGTTAAAAGAACTGCCAAAGGTCACCTAGTTGGGGAGTCATGAAGCCCGGAAGAGAAGCCAAATTCTCTACTGCTCAACCCCTTGCTTTCACTATTACACCTCATGGCCTTCAAATCTAAATGCAGTTACTCATTAAACAGGAACCTGGTAGTCTTAAACAGGAATCTCTCACTTGGTAAGGTCTTGTCTCTTGTTGTATTTGACCCCAACTGTCTATGGCTTTGCCTGAACCCAAAGTACACACGGACACGAACCCAAAGGAGAACCAAATGTGGGATAAAATGACACTCATTTTAGCGACATGTCTCGGCAAATGAGTTCCTGTGTAGCTGGCTGAAAGCCCAGACCCTTTCAGTAAAACATCCTGAATAATTCACATTTGTTGGTCTATAATATAAAGGGCAAATGTAGCTCATTTTTAGGCCAATTCTGAACATCAATAATAATAAACCAGAGATAACAGATTTTGTTTTCATAGAATTGGAACAAATTGGAGTATCTGTGCAAAAGCATATCAGATCTAGGGGCAAAGGGGACAAGGTCTAATTTTCACAGCAAGCAAATTTTCCAGGGAGGGACTATTTATGATAAAGGGATATTAGTCTCTTAGTCAACAGAACCTGGATACACACTTCCGACAGAGAAGAGGGAGAACAGGCAGGAATCTACACACCACATATCAAGGAGATTTGCTCTAAAATATGACTGATAATTAGAAATTTCTCAGTTTCCCCCTTTTCCCTCATTCTTTGATTCTTCTTGTTATCTTTATCTCTTACTCCTTTGTTTCTCATATATTGAGTCTTACAGATCAAGCTCCCATTTTTTTCTTCAGGGATATTTTTCTAGTTCAAAGTGCCTACCATCTCCCTTCTGGTTCTATTCATCATTCTCTCCCGAAGCTCCTTTAGAAGTGTGGATTAAGGCAGAGCACTAAGAAACCAGACTTAAAGGTTCCCTTCTCATTCTGACTTTTCTCCTTTTGCCTATTCCTTCCTCCTGTTTTCTTACCATCAGTGTCTTCAAAGACTTTCAAGTACACAGTAAATGTAGAAACTTCAAGAAAGGCAGAATGAAAACATAACCAATGCATACATAAATAAAGCACACTGTGGAATCTTTTTAAATTCTGTATGATATATCGAATGCTGTCTCTCACATTACCTAGACTATTTGAAATCTAATTTATAGAACATAGACTATCTTTAAGCAGTAACAGATGCTTCTGATATCTTTTCTATTGTCTTGAACTATTACTGCATATGATACATCAAAGTTAAGTGACAATACAAGAAAGCAGATTCATTTGCTCCATGCCTAGGCTGTCAATTCCTAAAGTGGAAACACCATATATTATCTAGCTCAGTTTGCTCTACAAGACCTGCAATAGAGCCTTGTGTGACATAGAGATAATACTTGTTGAAGCAATTAAATTTGACTTGGAATTAACTCTGCCATCATTCTACAAGGAAGGATTGAAAATCCTCACCCTGTTCTGATATAGTACATTTCTATACAAAAACGTCCTGCTCCATCTTCCCTTGCATTGCATAAACTATGTACATGCCTTCCTCAGGGCACTTTCCTAGGACAGTGTCAGCCTAAGGATCTTTGTTTGGGTGGCTTTTAGAAACTCAGGAAGACAGGAGCATCATATGCCTATAGGCAGCTGGCTTCCAGGTCAGTAGTTTTGCTCTGACCCTAAAATCAGACTCCCATCCCAGTGGGTATCTACGGGGGAGGACTGGGCATTCTAAGCAGTTTATGTGCCAATTCAATTTCTTAACCTATCTCAAAGATGGAGATCAGTGTGAGTCCAATCCATGTTTAAATGGTGGCAGTTGTAAGGATGACATTAATTCCTATGAATGTTGGTGTCCATTTGGATTTGAAGGAAAGAACTGTGAATTAGGTAAGTAACTATTTTTTGACTACTCATGGTTCAAAGTTTCCCTCTGAAACAAGTTGAAACTGGAAAATGCAATATTCGTGTATCATAATTTTTCTTAAAAACGTACTTTCAACGCTCATAAACATTTCATTTATAGTTATGGTTTTCAGGATATGAGTTGGAGAAGCTATATTAAAATCAATAACAATATTTGGTAACTAATATTAAGTGATAATGATGTTCTACTCACTTATTAATCCTTAATACAACCATATGTGGTTAGTGTTATCATTATCCCCATTCTATGTAGATGAGAAAACTGCAACTCTAACATCCAAAAATTACAGAGGCACAAATGGTTTAGACAGGACTTAAACTTCAGTGTGACCAAAACCCATGCTTCTAACTACTATATTTAAAACTCAGAGAAAACTGAACCCAGAAAATTGAAATCATGACTAAATTGCTATCAACGTAGGTAGTGAAAGTCAATTAAGTGCAGAACTGGAGTATGACTGGCCAATTATCCCATATATTAGGAATTCTCCACATGTACAAACCACTTCATATGCTAAATTTGTTGACAAAATTCAAAGCTCATTCCTGAATTTGACTATATTGATTACATCAAAAGTATTACATAACAACCTTAGAATCCTTGTGTACCTTTTCTTCTCAAAGCCTAGACTGTTTCATTTTTCGAGGTTTCAGTAATTGGAGCAGTAAACCCATGTCCTTTACCTACTTGTTTATCACCTCCAGATGCAATATTACGGGTACTGTGATTGTGAAATGCACACAGTGCTAATGAGGAATTCACTTTCTACTCTGACACTCCAGAAGAATAGAGATGCAATCCTAAGGAAGAATTTAACACCACAGGCTACATGACTAAGGATAAAGAGTAGAAAATTAGCAGGACTCTATTAAGGCATTATAGCAATCCACCTGACAGATGAAAAAGGCATGAAATGAAATGAAATGTGGCAGCTACACTTGTCCTATTGAGATAGGAAAAAAGTCGCCTGTAATGTTGTTCAGAAATCCTTTCAGTACTAAAAAGAAATTCATTGACCATCTTCCTTTGGGCTCAAAAATTTCTTAGAAGGTAAGAAAAGGAAAAGGTGACAGGGCAAAGACATTTGAAAAGAAAGAAAAGACTGAATGAACTTGCACACCTGGCTTGGACTCCCATTCCTTTAGGTTTCCATTGTGGGGACAAACTAATGCCTGGGTTACCGTTCTTGAGAGTGTGTTAATTGATTCAACATCTCTGAAGTGCTACTTTCATCTGAAAGGTTATAATTTGAAATTCAGATTTACCTGGATAAATTTGATCTTGCTATTGTGGAAACCTCTAGAAATCCTTGGAGTAGTTACTCATTATCAGCTTAAATAATATAACCGTTGGAGCTGAGAGAATGAGTAACTCAATTAGTCTCAGTTACAACTGAAGGGCACATTGTGGTAAACTATAATTGAAAACATAAATATCTTTACCTAGTTTAAAAATAAAGATGCTTTAAAAGGAGAAAGGGAATAACCCTTAGGAATGTAAATAGAAGCACAAACTTTTACAACAGAGTTTACTACATGTGTGGCTATGTTCCACACAGCAAAAATGCTAAGTCTACAACTGACACAACTTGGATACTCTCATGTTCCCACATTTTGGTTTGGTCAGGGCTGTGCAGTTGTACTGCAGCCACCACCACTCCTGGCCTCTAAGGTATATTGATCTGACCCACCAATCTGATCAAGTTTTAGAAAAATATTTTCAGCCCAGTTAGCTCACAAACAAAATGAGAATTCCCACAAATTGCTCTTTACCTCAGACAATAGAAGAAAGCAACAGCAAAAGCATAAACAAATTACCATTTCAGTTTGTTGCTTCCAGTTAAAGACTAATTTCAACAGCTACTAGATAGCAGAGTTTATGGGGCATCTCGGCCCCAAGTCTTTTGTCGTATGTGGTCTTGAAAAAAAGAAAGGAGATTTTCATCAATACGTTTTTTTTGTTATCTTTTTCCCTTGTTCATCAGGCCCTTCACTGCGAGAGAGAGGTGTAAACATTCAGGGCATGCTTTCTAGTTAAAGAATATTAATTGGCTATTGGGTCCCTTAGGTTAGAATAAAGACCTCTGTATGATGTTCCCAGCTGTACATCAAATCCAAATATCTCTCAGATAAATGAAGGTCTGTAAGAATTTGGTCATTCCTGTCTCTTCTAAAGAGTAACAGAGGCATTTTCTCAGAATAAAGCAGAATGGAAAGAAAAAAATCACAAGCATGTAAACACCTTTTTCAATTTTCCAGCATGTCACAGACACTGCTGTCTTATTTGCTACATATTTCTGAGGAGTGAAAAAAGGAACTATGTTGAGTTTAGCTGAAGCACAGCATATTTTGTGGTAAACTTGTTAAATAAAACATCTTTTGTCCAAGCTTTGGTTGTCATACCAGTGGATATATCAGGAAATATAAAGGCAGAATAAAATGAAGCAGAACATACTAATATTTGTAGTAGGCATGAAGGGAATTAGAAAGTGTTTGTGTTAACATGGAGGGAGAAAAACAGATGCTTTGAGATGTTCTTCAAAAGATATTCTAGGCACTGAGACCCCCTTCAGGAGCAGAGAGAGTCCATACCCACCACAGTACCTGACATATAAATGCTCAGTAATTGATAAATGAGTCCCATTCTAACTGTTCCTTAGGCCCTGCTCTATGGAACTCTCCCCTGGAAATCCTTGTGCCATTATTTTATTTCTGGAATCTTCAGCCTTTTAGCTGAGGGCAAAAGATTGCTGTTTAGGAAGCAATATTTCCCACCTCCTGCACAAAACAAGCCAAAGATCAACAGCAGCAGCAACATACTGGGCCCTAAAGGGCAATGACAAATATGGATAATGATACAGAGTTCTGGTTACTTCTTAGCCAATGACACAGAATCACAATTGAGAAAACACAGAGTTTATTCATTCCCATTGTGCATGCCCTGGACAAACCGAGCTGCACCTTTCGTAATGTATCACGATCTCATATTGATGGAACACTTTCTACAGGTAATGTTTGATTTGGCTGAACACTTTAGCATTGCTTCGTAGCAACAAAATGATAGCTAGTAACAAAAAAAAAAAGATCCAGGGATATTACCACTGTTAGTGAGGAGAAAGGCCTTTAAATTAATTAATTAATTAATTAATAGGACCAAGTGCCATCTTTCTGGATCATGCCCTTAGTGGATTATTGGTAGCAAAGGTTAAAGCTCAAGCTGGTTCCTTTGTCCCCCCTGCCAAGAGTTGATTTGCCTCCCTTTACTTCCTGAAGTATCAGTAAGGACTAAGAGCTAATTATTACAGTTGGCTATGCTAGCACATGTAAAATAGAGTTTAAAAGTTTAGATTCGTCACTCAAAAATTCATATTCTCCAAAACCATACAGTCACTCTGTTAGCCTGTGTTCCCCCAGAAAAAAAAAAGTCACAAGCTTATTTATTAACATGTGCAATCCCAGGGGGCAAGAGAAAAGAACTGAAGAGTGAGGCAGAAAGGAAAAGAAAGCCAATAAGAGGATGAGTTATCAAACTACTCGTATCTAACTGCAATTGATTGCTTAACTTCCTGGGACTGTCTCCAATAAGTCAAATTGGTCTCAGGTTAGTCCACCTGAATGGGAAGAAGAGATGAAAGAATTTGTCAGTATCTGTCTCTCATTGGTTAGAAGTTCGACTTATGGGGAATTAACTCCCTCACATATCTTAGTTGGATATGTTGGGTACCAAGAGGGTCATATGGCATCCATGCCTCAGCATTAACAGGGAAGCTTCAAGGCAAAAGACACCTAGTGCAGCTGTGATCCAAGGCAATTCAAGGATACAACCATAGGAGGTCGGTTGAAATCCACCCAGAGCTAATCACCACCATGCTGGAAAAAGACACAGGTGAAGCTGAGCAGAATGAAGGTGGTGCATACGAGGTATCTAATGCAGTCACTCATTTCAAACTTTCCATGTTATGATTGCACTGACCACTGAGGATTTCTATTGAAAGTGTTACTGTTGTCAAACATGTACATAAGGGGAAAGATGTCTTACATTGTTTATATTCCTGTGCTGCTCTAGAAACAGAAATAGGCTCAAGAGCAGAGCCTGTTTTTCTTAATTCAGCAGGTCTAAGCTAACGAGTCCTGAAACATGCTACTTCCTGTTATTGGTATTGCATAGGAGAAACAAAAGGAAAGCACAGTAATTAGAAAATACAAAACAAGATGGCAGGAATCAGCCAAATATATCAGGACACACAATTATTGTGAATTGGGGTTAAACTAATCTATTAATAATGACAACTTTCAGTTTGGAGTTAAAAATTTAATTGTATACTGTTAACAAAATTGATACCTAAACTAAAATTACACTGGGAGGCTAAAATGAACGGATGTGAAAAGAACTATCAGGTAAAAACTAACAAAAAGAAACTAGCAAAGCAATGTTAATATCAGACAAAATAGAATCCAAGAGGAAAATCATTTCAAAAGACAAGAGATATTTTTTATTAATAAGGGGAATTGCATAGTAGAGTAAAGAAAATGTGGGCCACTGGAATGCTTAGCACTAATGACATATTGGTCTTTGGTCTTCAGTTACCATACAGGACCCTATTTCATTCTCTTATGTTTGATATGTAACCACCTCAGCCAGCTTCAAGTTGCTTTTTGGCCCTAATGGACTTACTAACGCTATAATTTCTTTTTTAAAAAATGTTTTATTTTAGGTTTAGGGGTACATGTGAAGGTTACATAGATAAACATGTGTCACAGGGGTTTGTTGTACATATTATTACATGATGCAGATATTAAGCTCAGTACCCAACAGTGATCTTTTCTGCTCCTCTCCCTCATCCCACTCTCCCCTGTCAAGTAGACCCCAGTATCTGTTGTTTCCTTCTTTGTGTTTATAAGTTCTTATCACTTAGCTCCCACTTACAAGTGAGAACATGCAGTATTTGATTTTTGTTCCTATGCTAGTTTGCTAAGGATGATAGCCTCCAGCTCCATTCATATTCCCACAAAAGACATAATCTCGTTCTTTTCTATGGCTGCATAATATTCCATGGTATATATGAACCACATTTTCTTTATCCAGTCTGCCATTGATGGGCATTTAGGTTGATTCCATGTCTGCTATCCTAACACTGTAATTTCTAAAGACTTCCAGGTTTTACTTTTATAGGTAACCTGTTAAACAGTCTAGCTCGGGACGCCAAGCAATTTCTAGAATAACTAAGCAATAGAAATTACACTTCAATTCAGAAAGGCAGTATCTACATGAGATTATGGAATTGCTGTTGCTTTTTGTGTTCACTGAAAAAAAATTAGTAAAACTGTAACTTTCAGAAAAAATGCTTGTACATATAGAAAACCCAAAGCATCTAAACAATTAAAATAAATAAGTATAGAAAGGTTACTGGATACAGAGTGAACATACAAATATCAATTGCATGTCTATATACCAGCAATGATTCAAAAATGATTTTATAATAGCATTAAAAATTAGATGCTTAGTAATAAATGTGAGAAAGATGTGCAAGAACTCTACATAAAAAATTATGAGACACTATTGAGAAAAATTAAGGCAAACCTAAATAAATAAATGAATAGGCAATGTTCATCAATTAAAGGATACAATATAGTAAACATATCAAATATTTACTAATGGATTCAATGCAATACCAAAGTGCCCAGCAGGCTTTTTTTGGTGGGGGGAGGTCGGGCAGGATTCATAAGCTAATTCTAAAATGCATATGGAAATGCAAAGACCCAAGTATAGCCAAGACAGTTTTCAAGAAGAATAAACTTGTACTACTTACATTAATAGATGTCAAGACTTATTATCAAGTTACATTTATTAAGACAGAGTGGTACTGACACAAGGATAGACAAATAGATGAGTGAAACACAATAGAGTGCTCAGAAGCACACCTGTACTTATATAGAGGCTTGATTTATGATAGAGGTGCCAGTGCAGTAGAGAAGGGAATTGTTGATGTTTTCAATAAAAAGTGATAGGTCAATTAGATATTCATATGGCATGAAGTATAAAACAATAACATTTTATATTCATAACTTGCAGAAAGTAAAAATTTCTTAAAATACAAAAAGTGATCACCATAAAGGAAAAGATTGATAAACTGGACTATATGAAAACTAAGAACTCCTGTTCAGCAAAAGACACTACTTTGACTGAAAAGACCAGTCACAGACTGAGACAAGATATCTGCAATACAGACACCTAATAACTGAACCCCATACAGTGATGGTGGGAATTTAAGTTCGTACAATCATTTTAGAAAATTGCTTGGCAGTATCTACTAGATCTGAACATCTGATCCAGTAATTTCACTCATAATTATAAGCCAGTAAAAAGGCATGTTTATGTCACCAAAAGATATATACAAGAATGTTCATTACACTATTATACATAACAGCGAAAAACTGGAAACAAACCAAATATCCATTAACAGTAGAATGAATAAATAAAAGCTGTAATAGTAATACAATGGAATACTACACAGCAATTTATACTGCTACACAAAACATGGATTAATCTCATAGACAAAATGTTAAATGAAAGACGCAGACGAGTACATATTGTGAACTTCTGTTTATAGTTCAAGAGCTGGCAAGAACTGTTTACTGTGTTAGAAGTCCAGGTAATGGTAACCTATAAAAAGGAAAAAGGGTGGAATGATTGGGAGGGAGCATCTTCTGGGGTATTGATAATGTGCTATGTATTGGTCAGTTTAGTGTTTAAACAGGCTCATTTACTTTGTGAAAACTTATACTAAAATTTTGTGTATTTTTTGAATATATGTTATACATTAATAAATAGGGTTTTTAAACCTGTAGTCTACGATTTAGTGAAAGTAGAATATCCAAACAGTTAGTTTTAAACCAATCCATTATAGCGCTACCACCATTTTTATGCCTTATTGAGAAGTTTATTTTACCTTTCTTTCCACTCTTAGTTCAAGGCTCCAAAATTTCTCTCCCCAATGTACATTGGGGGCAACATGAATGCCCCCAACACATATTTGACCCATACACGAGTCAATATTTCCATGTACTTTTTAGAAATGCGTGTTAAATTATGCTGTTACTGTCTATTTTGCTTCTTTTAGATGTAACATGTAACATTAAGAATGGCAGATGCAAGCAGTTTTGTAAAAATACTGCTGATAACAAGGTGGTTTGCTCCTGTACCGAGGGATATCGACTTGCAGAAAACCAGAAGTCCTGTGAACCAGCAGGTCATAATCCAAATAAGAGTTTTTAAAGAAAATCTGTATCTGAGCCTTCAACATTTTAACAAACCTACATAATTTTAATTCCTACTTGAATCTGCTTCCTTTTGAAATAATAGAAAAGATCAGTAGCTTGAATTAGACCAATTAATTTTCTAGATTGCATCATATTTTAAACTATGTAATCATCTACAACCTGAATTCTTTTGTGTCCAATTTGTCCAATTTTTTCTCTAACATTTATGTCACAAAGCAATTAATTTGTGTGATTTCTGCATATATATTTGTAATTCATCAAGTCAAATCAATGTAGTAATACTATATCATAAAATATACACAAATAATTGAGTGGATAGGCTTCTAGTACAAGGACGGTAAGTTTGAAGCATGATTCCATCTGGGCTGGCTAGTTTACTCTGAGAAAGTTATTTTTTATTGTTGGGTCTGAAGCTGAGTTTACACAATTGGTGTCAGAATGATTCCGGCAATGAACTGTTTTAAGTTCTGCTAGGCTGGTCAGCACAATCTATATGGCTGTGAACAAAGCAATGTTTCCCAGTCATATCAACCATGCCACCATTTTAACAGCTGATTAGTGTATTCAGAGCATCTCCACTCCATGTTCGTATGGCTCTTATCTAAAGATGAAAGCAGTAGACACTTTTATGTTTTGAAAAATTTAGGCTCTTCAGGGTCAATTATATTTGATAAATGAGGGGCTTTTTTTGAAGCAAACTAGATATAATTTCTTTTGCATTTCTAAAGCCTAATATCGTATTAAATTGGTACATTAAATCGTGTACCATTTCTCTGTAACTGGTTCCAGTACCTATCTCAGCACTATACCAGGCAGAGGAAATTAAAGAAAGAACCAGTGCCGAGACCAGCTTGGTCGGGGAGACCCTAACCCAGTGGCACTAGAGGAATTAAAGACACGCACACAGAAATAGAGTATGGAGTGGGAAATCAGGGGTCTCACAGCCTTCAGAGCTACGAGCCCCGAACAGAGATTTACCCGCATATTTATTGACAGCAAGTTGGTCATAAGACTTACTAAAACTATTCCTTATGGGAAATAAAGGGATGGGTCTGGCTAGTTAACTGCAGCAGAAATGTGTCTTTAAGGCACAGATCACTCATGCTATTGTTTGTGGTTTAAGAACACCTTTCAGTAGTTTTCCGCCCTGGGTGGGCCAGGTGTTCCTTGCTGTCATTCTGGTAAACCTACAACCTTCCAGCGTGGGCGTCAAGGCCATCACGAGCATGTCACAGTGCTGCAGAGATTTTGTTTATGGCCAGTTTTGGGGCCAGTTTATGGCCAGATTTGGAGGCCTATTCCCAATAAACCAGAAGGCAGGAATATATATCCTGCAACTAAAATGAAGAATCTCTAAGGCTTCGGGGCCTGCCCACTTGTCCTTCTGCCTGGTTCTTCACATATGCTGTCTCAAAGCTAGTCTACCTTGAGAGGAGCATGAATATGTGTGTGGGTGTGTGTCTGTGTGTGTATTTTAACCTTAAAAACCTAACTTCCAGTATAGACAGATGGCATAGTAGCTAAACCCTTACAAGCTCTTCTATGCTATAAAAGAGAAACAGAATTGAGAACCACCTCCAACTATTAAGTGTTATATTTGAATATAGCCTTAGCTTTAGCAGAACAAGTAGGCCAAACTTAAAATAAGCTTTTCTGCCTTTTCAACGATAATGGTCCCTTTTCTGTAGCCATTGTTGATCGAGTACATTTATACATAAGTATTTTGAACTAATTTCCCGGTTTCTCAACCACTTGCTGTCTTCACGATACTTTGTCGCAGCTGGTTGCTATAGAAATGTCTGTTACAAGGAATGTGGCTTGAAGGAAAGTGAGAAATGAAAATGAAATCTGAAGTGACTTCGTTTGACTACAAATTCCCATTCTGGTAGTCCCCAGTGTATCAATACATTATTTTTCTTCAGAAAATAAACGAACCCAAGGAAAAATGGTGGGCAGGTCCTGGTGAATATGACTGTGATAATTATATTAGCAATCTCTTTGGCTAATATTTGAAACCCAGGTAATTGAATCACAATGATCTCTCCCCAGAAAATAACGTAAAATGCACCTTGGAACCTAGAAGGCATTTTAGTCTGCAAAAGAAACCTTCCTAATGATAAGCAGCAGAAGTCCCATTTACCAAATTGGAAAGTTAAAGTTACAAAGCATCAATCATCAGACTTCCATTCAGGGATGGCAACTGGGAGTAAGACTTTTTAGTAAAGAAACTAAACAGAAAGTCATTAGACTCTATAAAGGTCTTACCAAATTTGATTCTGGAACACCTATTCTATTTCCGTAAAGACGATGAATTCCAGAGCCAAGTGTTCTTTTCATGAAGGATTTGAAAACTGTCCATGAAAATAATGCAATCAACCTTTTAGCTTGAGATTCTATTCACTGATTAGATTGTTTTACATACTGATAGGCCTGCTTCTCAGAAGTGACAAGGATGGGCCTCAATCTCAATTTTTGTAATACATGTTCCATTTGCCAATGAGAAATATCAGATTACTAATTTTTCTTCTGTTTTTCTAGTGCCATTTCCATGTGGAAGAGTTTCTGTTTCACAAACTTCTACGCTCACCCGTGCTGAGACTGTTTTTCCTGATGTGGAATATGTAAATTCTACTGAAGCTGAAACCATTTTGGATAACATCACTCAAAGCACCCAATCATTTAATGACTTCACTCGGGTTGTTGGTGGAGAAGATGCCAAACCAGGTCAATTCCCTTGGCAGGTACTTTATACTGATGGTGTGTCAAAACTGGAACTCAGCTGGCAAGACACAGGCCAAGTGGGAGACTGAGATTATTTTACTAGACAGCCCTATTGGGATGTGAGAAGTATTTAGGTAAGTTTCAGCACTAACCAATGTGAGAAAGCCTCCAGAGATGAGCAGCTGGTGAAAGAGAGGCCCAAATCAGCTACTATACAGGTCAGGAAGAATTTGGCATTAAGGAAATGCATAGCATGATTCCAGACAGGCAACTGGTCAACGACATGAAAGTCTGGAAGAAAGGTCACAGGGTACTACTTCAGCCTCAGCCCTTGCAAAAACTGGTGAGAGTTGGAAAGTCTTTAGGCCAAGAAAAATTGGATTATTTAAAAGGGGATAAAGAAAGGAACTCAAGGAGGAAGGATTAAGGCAAGAACTAGGTTCCAAGAAACAGCATCAGAGTGTCTTGGTCTACAGCTATAGTTCTCGTGGTAGCATCAGAATCACCTGGGAATATGGAAATGCAAATTCTCCTACCCCCACCCTAGACCTACCAAATCAGAATATCTAGGGGGTGGGGCCCAGCAATCTGTGTGCAAACAAGCACTACAGGTGATTTTGATGCACTTTATAGTTTGAAAACTAGGCCAGGTGCAGTGGCTTATGCCAGTAATCCCAGCACTTTGGGAGACTGAGACGGGAGAATCGCTTAAGCCCAGGAGTTTGAGACCAGCCTGGGCAACATGGCGAAACTCCATCTCTATAAAAAAAAAAAAAAATGTAAAAATTAGGTAGGTGTGATGACTCCCACCTGTGCTCCCAGCTATTTAGGAGGCTGAGGTGGGAGAATCACCTGATCCTGGAAAGTTGAGGCTGCAGTCAAACGTGATCACACCACAGCACTTCAGCCTGGGTGACAGAGTAAGACCCTATCTCAAAAAACGGAAAAAGAAAAACACTGGCCCAAAGCAAATGAACTTGTTACAGAAGCCAGGGTTCAAAACACCAAATGATGGACTTGTTGTACCTAGTCCTTCCAGTGTGCTCTGCAGACATTCTCCAAGTGTGGTCTGCAAACAACCTACATATGTAGAATTACCTATGCACATTTTTCATTTAGCAACCACGAGCTACATTTGTAGCAAAATCTGGGTTGTAACTTAGCCTACAGCTAAAGCCTAAGAGATTCCATCTGTGAGAAGGAATAACCCACCTCTTTGGCCCCCCTCCCCAGGCAGGAAGCCAGGATGGTCCTTATATAAAGTTGTGCTGTCCAATAGGTAACCACTAGCCATATATGGCTATTTAAAGTTAAATTACCTACAATTAAGTGAAATTAAAAATTCAGTTCCTCAATTGCACCTGCCAAATTTTAAGTGCATAACAGCCACATGCGGGTACTAACTACTGTATTGCAGAGTGCAAGTGGAGACAGAACATGGTATTACTGCGGAAATGTCTATTGGATAGCACTTATAATCGTTTAGTCTAACTTAAAACTCCCTAGTTGCCACAGTCATGATTTGGTAGTAATTTCACGGATTTCTCTACTGAGGTTTGAATCTCTGCCATTAGAGACTGATAACTTTAAAGACTGCAGTGATCAAACTGGTAACAATTTAAGCCAGAATCAGGTAAATGTCCTGAGTTTTAACAGCACTGGAATTTTTCTGGGACTAGCTGTGTATCTATCCAGGATTCTTGAGAATGCCTGCCATTTTCCAACGTAATGGATGTAAGATATTACACATATACCTGGGGATGGGGCAGTAGGTATAATTGCACAAGCATTGTGGAGAATGGTATCAAAGAGTGGCAGAACATCACAAGCAAGGTTTTCCCTTTCTTTTACCTTTGCTTTTTAAAAAGACAATATTTGCTGGACCTGATCTTATAGCCCATAAATGGGACACTGTACGTTCCTTTTTACCTCCTCTGTTTCTACTTAAATGCATCCTATGAGGGCTGCTTCCCTTACCCACCATAACCCCTTTCTTCACTCATCCATATCTTTGCTCTTCTTCACAATTGTGTAATATTGACCTTCTTTATGAACCTTTCCTGGAACAACCCCTCTTGAGTGCAAGCACTCTTATTATGCCTTCAATGTATTTAATATCCATGTATCTAATTCTAATTTTGTCATTTGCGTTCTCATGTATTTTCATTCATTATGTGTCCAACTTCCATGGATAACATGGCATAGAACAGTGCTTACAGTGGGGGAGAAGATATCTTCCGTTTTTAAAAGTCCAAGATTAAAAAAAAAAAAAAGTATGCTTTGTGAGTTTAGCATTGTCTCCTTGTCATTCCAGAAATGAAATGGCAAATACATTTAAATCAGAACTAAAAAGGGGAACAGGGTATAAAGGCTCAGTTTAGGCACATAATTTCACTTTCTCACCCACCCTCTTTAAACCAGATGTTTGCCAATGTGTTAACAATGCAGATCTTTCCTGAAAGTTTAGTAACTCAAGCAGACACTTTATTTTCTTTTCAAGCAGAAAAGACTATGAGATGGTGGTTGTGGTTGTTCTGGGAGGGAGAAGATATAAATGATACACATCATTTCAAATTATGTCATGACCTTCTCACTGCACACTTATAGTTATTGTCCCTATTGCTCTCAAGCCTAGCTAAGATCATTTGGAATGTTCAAGATCACTCATACATGCATGTGCACACATGCACGTGCACATATGTTCACTCCCTATTTCATCCATATGAACTAAGATTACTGACCTGGACAGATTCAGAGCCCTAACTTTTATTCTCTTCCAAAGGCAAGAAGCTGAGCCACTTTCCAGAATAGTTGTGAAAGACCCCAGCATACTTCTGCATTGCTTCCTCCACACCACCTCCATCTAGTTCCTTATGAAAGGTTACTGGTTTTCAAAAATATGAGATAAATTGAGTGTATAAAAGTCATTTCTAGACAAAATGAAACAAACCAGAATCTCTCCTCATTTGTGGATGGGCCACCTCCACCATGTCATGGTTAATCTGCAGGAGGAAATACTAGATTTGATTGCAGATCAGACTGCAGCAAACCTGCTGTGACTAAGGCATCAAGAGAAAGCAAGCAACAGCTGGGGCTTCAGTGGTGAAAACATTATATATCTAGCTTTGAAATATGAAATACTATTTAGCAGTGTCACCTAGAAAAGAGTGTTTCAAAATGCTGATGCTTCATAAGAACCTTTCTCTTCAGAGTGGTTTCTTTTATCTTTCAAATTAGCCAGGGTGAGAAATAAAGCGATCACTTGGTGAAGAAATCTCACAAAGAACAACATAGTTCACTTTCATCTTGAGTAACGAACAGATTGAACAAACTAGAAATGTTTAGTCTGTTAAAAGAAAAGGTGAGCTGTTTGCAAGAGCCACAAGGGAAAAGGGAAGACAGCTTCTTTGTGGACTTCAGGGTGAAAGTTGCAAGCGGGCAGGAAGATTCTGACCTCCATTAAGAAAGCCCTTCCCAACCAACAACCACTGGGTTGGTTGCGTAGGTTGGGCAGCGTTAGGAGCAAATGTTGATTGAACAAATGTTTGTCGGAATTGTTGACTTAAAGAGCTGTTCTGTCACTGGGGACAGGAGCGGCTGGATAGCCCCATTCAGGGAGAGGGCATTTGTTCGCCTGGCGAGAGATCAGAGCAGGCTAAGCGACCGCTGGGATCCTGTCCGGCTTTGAGACCCTACAGAGCCATGTTCACCTAGCACGTATCCCGTCTGCGGTCGCGCTCCTTTCTTACCTTATTCCAGGGCTTTCACCTCAGCTTGCCAGGCTGGAGCCAAGGGCCAACGCAGCCGCGCCTTGCTCGCGACGGTAGCTTCCCAGGAGCCCCCTATGGTTCCGGAACGGCACTGCCGGCCCCATTCTCTTTGCTACCTCCTAAAGCCAAAGGCACTGGCGGGCCGGGCCAACTTCTAAAGTCGCGCGAGATTAGAAGGCCTAAGATAGGAACCGCGTGAGGCCAATGGAAGGAGGTACTTCAGTTTCCCTCCAGATGCCCAGCGATGGGCTCAGAGCTCCTTGAGAACTCGGGAAAGGAAGCAGGGTCTCTGAAGAAATACTTCAGGAGTAGAAAGAGGAAGCTAGAGGGTTAAATGCTCTACACAGGAACAGAAATGAGTTTTTCTTAGAGTAAGTATATGTCTAGAGGTGTAGTAAGCTAAAACAAGTCTTGAATTGCATACCGCTACGTAGGGAAAAAATGAAAGCCTTTGAACATTAGTGAAAAAAGGGAAACTGTAACGCCTGTATTACTAGATAGCTTTCATCAACAACTCAAAAGCGAGAGATTTGAAGAAGCAACAAAGCTTTAATTTGGTTTGGATCCCATGGCCATGACCCTGCCAGCGGACAATTCTAGGCATGCGCAAACTGGCCCCCAAAATTCCTCCCACATTTCCAAAGAACTATTTGGCCCTTTATGTGAAGTACCTGGTTTTTCCATTTTCTGTTTTACCATAGGCCTCAGTTCGGTGTGTGGCATACAGTCTTCAAATATTTAACAATTTGCAGATGATTCTATCAGATTAAAAAAAAAGAATACAATGGAAGCCAAGTGATTAAGCTTTCCTTATGCTCATATTAAGTTGTAGCATATGCATTTACCGATGGTTAACCGTATTAACCTACAGAAAATGTCCAGGGAAACGGTCTATTTCTTATTCTATTTTTGACCTAAAAAAAAAAATCTTTAAAATGTCTTAGCAGTTTCCCCTGTCTCCACTTCCCACAGCTTTGGTCTGAAGCTACCCTGTACAGCTAGCTACAGAGATTCAATCCTTTCTGTTGGATTAGGACACATCCCAGTGGCAGATAGCATGCAAAGTTATTATATGTATGAATCAGAACTTGTTTTTCCTTAGGGGCCAGGATGTTGCACTAAGGTCTTAAGACTACAGCAATATCTTCACTTGAAAAAGGTGGCCCTCTATTATTCCTATCTCAGATGATAAAAATTCAATTAAGAGAAATAAGAACGTGACATATGTAACCTCACCTGGCTCTACAAAGCTAATCTGGACAGACATTTAAACAATTATCCTGTAAGATTATTTGATGAAATGCACTTCAATGACTAGTTAACCATTAAAAACCAAAGTGAGCATCCCATCTGTTCCCAGCCAAATGACCTACAGCAAAGGACTAGGCAAACCACATCTGTGGGCATAGCAAGCTGTACATCACAGACAAATGAATTTGCTTTGTATATGAGTGAGAGCAAACACTCTTTATTGTAAAGCTTGGGTGGGTAGGTAGGGAGAATAATGGTTTTGCTGAAATCACAGGGAATGGTTATGATGGAGTTAAAGGTCAGGAAGAGAACAAAAGGGTAAGAGCTGTTGTTCTGGGCTGGCATCATCAATGAAGAGCACAAATTCAGATGTGAATGTATATTTTGTAGAAGCATGTGTGTGGTTGGTGTGTGTATATATGTGTGTCTGAAAGAGGGAAAACAGGCTCCCATTAGACTATGACTAACAAAAATGTTTGACAGATTATAACTCAGATGCCTTACTCAGAGCATATGCCTTCCCATTTTCCCCATTATTCCCCAAAATGATGTCTTAAAAAGTTCTTAAAAAGAACTTTTCCTTGACCGAGCAGACATCTCATACTCCAAATAGCTAATATTTTGATAGCTATGATCCTGAATGACCAAACATTCCAAAACCAAGTAATTTGTAATATCTTTAAATGCAAATATATTTTAGGCCTTTTCCTTGGCAAGGATGTTTGGTCAGGGGTTGGCAAAAATAATGCTCTTCAGACTTAAAAGAACACAACCGTATTTCTTAGCCATCCACCAGAAAGTAGTAGAAGCTCCAGGAAACAAGTCTTTGTCAGCTACATCATAATCTCTCTGCCCAGGGGCTGTGGATGTCATTCATCCTGGCCTAACTAGCCTACTGGGCTGAGAGATGTTCAATTTCCCCACTAATACACTAGCCAGAGGAGAAGCACCGTGATATCATTGCATGTTAATTCTTAATTCCAATTGCTTAAACAGATATGTTCAGTTGTAACTATCATGACCAGTACATAACAGTGTTGGCCAAGTTTTATTGATGCTGAAAATCAATTGGAGTTACAGCCAGACACATGGTCTTATGACCGGCGTACTTACACAGGGCTTTGCACTCAGACAGATCATGCATCTGGGGTTTACTGCTTTGCATTTTTGTTTTGTAACTGAAGTCTGATGAGCCAGCCAGAGCATGGGCTACCTAGGGACCTGAAACCCTGCAACCCCACTTCTCACCACCTCCCAGGGTGATTTCTTGACCCCCAACTCCCCTACCACCTGGTGCCTTAGCCAGCCCTGGCTCTCCCTCCAAACACCTGCCCAATGACCACTGCCACCCCATGGTGCCCAGACATACTCTCCCTCCTCATCCCTACCCAGCTGCCACTGCCACTCCTCTCCCCCGGTGGGGACATGGGCATAGGTACAGGGAGAGTTAAGGTTGGTCAGGTGCACATGCCCTATGCTGTCTTGGAAGGTTGCTTGGCCATGTGGCATCTCTGGACCAAGAATGTGCCACAGCACATTTGGAGGGTGAAAGGTGGGGGCACACCCCTTGTCCACCTCCATTTCAGGCATGGAACACATCCTGGCATGAAAGTTGAGTCCCTTGGGAATCACGTCTCCACCTTGATTGGCACAGTAGGCCAGTGACAAGGGAAGATTAACACACCCTCCCCTGCTGGGACCCAGCATCCTGTGGCTGGCAGGCAGGGGATCCTAAGGACATGTGGGTGTTAAATTGTAGGGTGCACTTCCTGGACACCTTTGAGAGTCTGCACTGCCCCAGCAAATATCCCCATGCTAGAGGGAGCAAAATATTAAATGGCGAATTTAAAAAATGTAACATGATGGGTTGCAAAAGAGACTACAGAGGAAAGAAAAAAGTTTTGTATTTCAGTGTCTTCAATGGCACCTTTCTTCCTAGCTTTTGAACAAGGAGCGCCACATTTTTATTTCTCACTGAGCCCCACAAAGTATGTAGCCATTCCTGCTTGGAGTGAAGACTTTTAAAATATAAAGATTATCAAGTCTTGGAAATTCTGATCCAGTAGATATATAACAGGTCTCAAACTTAATTATGTAAAGAATATTCTGGAGGGCTTCATTTTACCCAGTCCCACCCACCAAATATTCTGGTAAATTAAGCTTGGATTAGCCCCCAGATCTGCATTTTATAAGGATGATTTTATAAGGATGATTAGCCCTCAGATGATTCTACTGCAACTGGTCCACAGACCATGCCTGGACTGAAATTGGGTGCTTAGGAGCACAAATTCTGGAGCCGGCCAGACTTGAGTTTGCTTCCTAGCTTTACCAACTGACCTCAGGGGAGTTAGCGTTTCTCTCTAAACTTTAGTTCATGCATCTATAAATATATTAATATCACATCATAAGGATATTATGTTGTATTAAATGTCTATAAACCCCACAATGATTAACCCAAAGTAAACCCTCAAATAAATGTTCAAAAAAATTAGGAAAATTGTTAAGTCTGGGTTGTATGCACACTGATGTTTGTTATATTATGTAGTTTTTTCTGTATTTTTACAACATTTCAGAATAAAAAGCAACAGCTAGGAGAAGAGGGAGATGGCCAGGCGCAGTGGCTCATGCCTCCCAGCGCTTTGGGAGGCCAAGGCGGGCGAATCACGAGGTCAAGAGATCGAGACCATCCTGGCCAACATGGTGAAACCCCGTCTCTACTAAAAATACAAAAATTAACTGGGCGTGGTGGCATGCACCTGTAGTCCCAGCTACTCGGAAGACTGAGGCAGGAGAATTGCTTGAACCTGGGAGGCAGAGGTTGCAGTAAGCTGAGATCTCATCACTGCACTCCAGCCTGGTGACAGAACGAGACTCCGTCTAAAAAAAAAAAAAAAAAAAGATAAGAGCAGGAGAGCCAGAGTATGAAAAAGGAAGTCAGAGCCCTTTAATGACTCAGCCCTTAGGTCTCCAGGTAGGAGGCTAGTGTTTCAGTGTCCAGGACACAGTAGGCGTTCTGTAAATTAAATTCAGGACAAAAAGAACATGCCCCAAGGACCATCTGATATCCACTTACAGTGATGGACCACCTCCTTTCCCTTGTTTATGAATGGGTTTATGCCTAAGACTGCGTGCACTTTAATACAAGGGCAGTCGTTCAGAACTAGTCAGCGCCTGAAAAGGATTTACCAAATGTTGAGTGTGCCCTCTAGTGTTCACACTTCCCAGCTTTCTTCCTGTAAAGGTGGATCAAGGCACTTGCTTACAACTGGAACTGAAATCCTCCAAGTCGATCTAGACATTGAGATGGAGAAAATATTCATTGTCCACTGTAATTATGCAACGAAGATCCAGCTGAAATAATGAACTGGCCTCTTATCTAACAATACCCAGGCTCAATGCGTCACTCCTTTGTCCACTTTGCCCAAAATTCAACCACAGCTAAGTTGACATTTTAGGACAAAGGCAGCTTACCATCCAGCCAGAGGGGAGTAGAGTATGGTTAAGAGAGAGTGGAAAGAATGAATGGGCCCTGCTATTCCTCACTGCCTGCATGGCTATAAGCACAGTCCTTATGGAGGCCTTAGGTCTTGTTTCATAATATTCCAGTTTGGAAAGGGTTTGAAAAGACCTCCTAGAAAAATCAGTAGTTTTTTCTTTTTCAAGTAACATGTAGCAAAAAAATTTCATCATGTAGGCACAGGGAACACCCTAATAACTATTAATCTCAAGGAGTCAAGTCAGTGTGTTTCCTACTGTACCTGCTGTATCCCCATGAAGCAAATTTTGCCATCAGAGAAACTGACTTATGGGGAAAAATATCCAAGAACCTCAAATCACCAAAAGAAGCCATTTCTCAGATCTGCCTCAGCTTAAGCTTCCTTGTCTCTGTGTGTTGCTTTCAATGCAGTTACATAAATGGCTTTTTTGTTTATACACCGGAAACACTAATTCATCTGCAAAGCTCACATTTCCAGAAACTCCATTTCTGCCAGCACCTAGAAGCCAATATTTTGCCTATTCCTGTAACCAGCACGCATATTTATTTTTTTCTAGATCAAATATATTATGCAGTAAGAGTCTTAATTTTGTTTTCACAGGTCGTTTTGAATGGTAAAGTTGATGCATTCTGTGGAGGCTCTATCGTTAATGAAAAATGGGTTGTAACTGCTGCCCACTGTGTTGAAACTGATGCTAAAATTACAGTTGTCGCAGGTAAATAAAGAATAATAGTCTGCAGCACCACTAGCTCTTTAATATGATTTGTACACCATATTTTACTAAGGTCTAATAAAATTGTTGCTGAATAAATTGGGCTAAAGGCAGAAGGGTCATAATTTCAGAACCCAAGTTGCACCATCCTCCAACCCTCCATAGTTCTTTTGATGTACCCATATTATCACTCCTTTCAGTGAGGTACAATTAGTTATTGATGTAGTCATTTCCCTACCAGAAAGTCTTCCCAAAAACCAGTATCATGTCACTGATCCTTTTGTCTCTGGTGCTTGGCACAACCTGTAGCAGGTTCTTAGAAAACAGACATTTGAATTAATGGCCAAATGAATTTGTGCTCAAAAAAGGGGTCAGAATACTTGAAATTTGGAAAATCTAGGATAATTCATGACTAGTGGTTTCATTATCATCAATGAAAAGCTTATAACAGCATGAGTGAACAGAACCATCTCTATGATAGTCCTGAATGGCTTTTTGGTCTGAAAAATATGCATTGGTTCTCATTACATTTAACCAAAATTATCACAATAGAAGAATGAGATCTCTGATATTGCCAATTAGGTCAGTGATCCCGAGTAGACCCTTAGAAAATCTGTGTATGTGAAATACTGTTTGTGACTTAAAATGAAATTTATTTTTAATAGGTGAACATAACATTGAGGAGACAGAACATACAGAGCAAAAGCGAAATGTGATTCGAATTATTCCTCATCACAACTACAATGCAACTATTAATAAGTACAACCATGACATTGCCCTTCTGGAACTGGATGAACCCTTAGTGCTAAACAGCTATGTTACACCTATTTGCATTGCTGACAAGGAATACACGAACATCTTCCTCAAATTTGGATCTGGCTATGTGAGTGGCTGGGGAAGAGTCTTCAACAAAGGAAGATCAGCTTCAGTTCTTCAGTACCTTAGAGTTCCACTTGTTGACCGAGCCACATGTCTTCGATCTACAAAGTTCACCATCTATAACAACATGTTCTGTGCTGGCTTCCATGAAGGAGGTAGAGATTCATGTCAAGGAGATAGTGGGGGACCCCATGTTACTGAAGTGGAAGGGACCAGTTTCTTAACTGGAATTATTAGCTGGGGTGAAGAGTGTGCAATGAAAGGCAAATATGGAATATATACCAAGGTATCCCGGTATGTCAACTGGATTAAGGAAAAAACAAAGCTCACTTAATGAAAGATGGATTTCCAAGGTTAATTGATTGGCACTGAAAATTAACAGGGCCTCTCACTAATCACTTTCCCATCTCATTATATTTGAATATATACATTCTATGATTATTGCTTTTTCTCTTTACAGGGAAAATTTCATGTTTTACCTGAGCAAATTGATTAGAAAATGGAATCACTAGAGGAATATAATGTGCTAGGAAATTATAGCCATTTCTAAGGGCCCAGCCCTTGACAAAATTGTGAAGTGAAATTCTCCACTCTGTCCCTCAGATACTATGGTTCTCCACTATGGCAACTAACTCATCTGATTTTCCCTCCTTAGCAGCATTCCATCTTCCCGATCTTCTTTGCTTCTCCAACCAAAACATCAATGTTTATTAGTTCTGTATACAGTACAGGATCTTTGGTCTACTCTATCACAAGACCAGTACCACACTCATGAAGAAAGAACACAGGAGTAGCTGAGAGGCTAAAACTCATCAAATACACTACTCCTTTTCCTCTATCCTATTCCTGAATCTTTTACCTTTTCCAAATCCCAATCCCCAAAGCAGTTTTTATCTTTCTTACTCCCTCTCTCCCTTTTACCCTCCACAGTCATTAAAGGAGAGATGGGGAGCATCATTCTGTTATACTTCTGTACGCAGTTATACATGTCTATCAAACCCAGACTTGCTTTCATAGTGGAGACTTGCTTTTCAGAACATAGGGATGAAGCAACGTGCCTGAAAATTTTGGGGGAAAAGTTTCTTTCAGAGAGTTATTATATATATATATACACACACACACACACACACACACACACACACACACACATATAATGGAAGCAATAAGTCATTCTAAGAGCTTGTATGGTTATGGAAAAAAAGCTGGCATTGACGCAGATATATTGTACTCTTTCTAAAAATTAATAATAATAATGCTAACAGAAAGAAGAGAACAGCTCATTTGCAGTCTACAACTAGTAGAGACTTTGAGGAAGAATTCAACAGCGTGTCTTCAGCAGTGTTCAGAGTCAAGAAAGAAGTTGAAGTTGCCTAGACCAGAGGACATAAGTAACACGTCTCCTTTAACTGGCATGCCCCTGAAGTGGAGAAGGGTGCAGCAGGCTCAAAGACATAAGTCATTCCAATCAGCCAACTAAGTTGTCCTTTTCTGGTTTCATGTTCACCGTGGAACATTTTGATTATAGTTAATCCTTCTATCTTGAATTTTCTAGAGAGTTGCTGACCGACAGACGTATGTTTCCCTTCGTGAATTAATAAACTGGTGTTCTGGTTCATACCTTGGCTTTTTGTGAATCCCATTGATGTGATTCAGCCACCCTGTATTTGATGATGCATAGGACTACTGACAAAATCACTTCGACCCCGCCAAGCTGCTGCCTTCTCTTGCCCCCCCTCATCCCCAGCCAGGCCTCACTCTTGCTAATTCCTTTAGTTCTTTTAGTCAATATATTTTTGTCTTTGCATATGAGTATAAATAAACATATTTTTTAATTTCTTGGCTTGGTCCAGTGGCTCATGCCTATAATCCCAGCACTTTGGAAGGCCAAGGTGGGTGGATCACCTGAGGTCAGGAGTTTCAGGCCAGCCTGGCCAACACGGTGAAACCCTGTATCTACTAAAAATAGAACAATTAGCTGGGCATGGTAATTTGTGCCTGTAATTCCAGCTACTGGGGAGGCCAAGGCAAGAGAATCACTGGAGCCTGGGGAGCGGGGGGTGGGGGAGGTTGCAGTGAGCCGAGATCGCACCAGTACACTCCATCCTGGGTGACAGAGTGAGATTCTGTCTCAGAAATAAAATAATTAATTAAATACATAAATACATTTCTTGAGGCGTTTCTTGTTAAATCATTCATGGAGAGGTATCCCAAATACTACATTCAACAAAACACTCTGAAAAATGTTTTCAAATGCAATATAACACAGCAGAGATTTGATGCTCTGTTATCCAGCTTTCATATAAGGCAGTGTGAGCTGTGTTCCAGAGAGGAAAGTGGTCTGAATCCACCTGAGACAGAATTGGGTCTAACTAGCTGTGAGTATGGCCTTCAATAAATCACTCTCCATTTGGAAATTTGATTTCTCCACTTGTATAATGGAAGAGTTTGACAGGATGCTCTCCAAAATCCCTTGCAGTTTTGTTAGTCTGTGATTTTATGTTTTTATTTTTATGTCTTCATTCAACAAATATTCAAGGAGTAATTGTTGTGTGCCAAATACCAACAGTGTTCATTAAATTGCAATTCAGATTTTATATATATAGTTATAATAATGTATAATGTATATACATTGCTTTGTGAGTGCCTGTTACACTACTAGACAGTAGTTGCTCAATAATTGTTAGCTGAATTCGAATTCATGTTTATCCCAGAGTAGCAATTAGTCTTGTATTGAGTATCATGAAAGAAGGCCATACTTAAATAAGAATAATGCCTGGAGTTTAGATTTTATGAACAAATGAAAGGAAATTGGTTCTGCTTTTGTTGACTAAAGGAGGGGAAGAGAGAAGAGACACTATAATTGTCTGCCTCAGATTTAAGGATGATGCTAATTCATGCATTAAACATGTTGCTTCAAATTTGAATGACCATAGGTCTGTAGCCTCAGCACTTCAAAATTGGTAAAAGTAAGATGCTCTGGCCTTGTTTCCATAGAGACCACCCCTTACAAAGGCACTAGTGGGAAACTAGCCTCAGGACTCCTGTGATTGGTCTTCTCTGCGGTAGAGAAAGGAGCTCCTGGACCCATAAATCTCTAAGCTACAGTTCTTTTGGTCATGGGCTCAAAAATGATTGAATTCATCATGAGCCACCTGTGGCATATTGCCACCACTAAACATGTGGGGCCTTTAAGCTCACTAAGAGCCAATGTCCTCGGAGACAGCCCTGACTGGATTCTACCTAGGGCATTTGCAATTGCCATATAAGAATCATAAGTGCTTTCAAAATCACTGTAGCTAATTTGCCTACATAGACTAAAACATGCTGCCATTATATTGGAAGTGACAGATTAAAATAGAACTCTTACCAAGTGAAGGAAAGTGTGCTAAGATAGTGCAGTCATTTTAACTTTCTGTTTAAGTATGATTGTTTTTAGTTCTTTTGAATATTTAGTTGTTTTATAGTGACAGGAATGAAGTACTGTCCAATTTTCTCCGCCAAGGAAAAAAGAAAAGGTGTTCTTCCTTACTTAACTGAACCAAAACAGACTAGTTTACAAAATTGCCTAATTAGAATTGCTAAACACATTCCAAATGCTTACAGTCTAATCCAAGAATGTCAGAGCTGCAAGGGCCCTTAAACACTGTCTAATCCACTCCACTCATTTAGCAGATGAGGAGATTGAGGCCAACATAAGGCCAGGCCCAAGATAACACAATGACAGCCAGGACTAGAGCTCAAGTCTCCCACCCTGCACTTTGAAACAATAATGCTTTCAACTGGGGTGCATTAACTCTACTGTCTATATTTTTAGGGCAGCTGGGGCATTCTGCATTGGTGGTAATCCTCTCAACAACCCTGGGACTGAAAACTGCCTGGAATTCTTACTATCAATTCTCTAATTGACCAAAAGGTGACAAAATCAAGGAAACCAATAGGTAGCTTGGAAAGCAGAGTGGCAGTCAGATAACAAACTGGAGCTTCAACCCCTGGCTCATAGCAGGCACCCAGTAAATACATGTAGAATGAATGTGTGGTGCTGGTGTCTGGCGTTTAGCCCAGCTGTGAGCACTGGGCCTTCCAGATGTGACATTTGACTACTATAGCACATTCAACAGTGTCATCTGGCAGACAGTCATTCCAGCAACAATTCGACTTTATTCACTGCAACTGTGCTGGGGAAGACGTGTGCACGTGGAGGTAGCAGGTTACTCCAGAAGCTGTTGTTTGAGGGTTGAAGGCAGGCTTCAAAGGCCCACCGAAGGTGAGATTCTAACAATGCATTGCACCTGCGGATGATTGGGACCCAGATTACAGCTGCTGAAAGGCCTGTCTGAGTAAAGCAATCAGGAATCAGAGCTCTTTTTGAATCTGAGGCTTATGCCATCTAAAAAATCTCAGGGTTAAAGCCATAAAAATCAACATGTTCTGTAAACTATGGAAACTATTGAAAGAATCACAGCAGGCAAAGGACTGTGGGATCCCTGCTCTTTTCAATCAATCCAGGCCCACAAATCACTTTACTCATTTTTTCCTATAGTAGTTTTGAGGCAAATCTTTTTCATCCTGACTTTGGGGCTATGGACTGCCTTGAGATTTCTGAGTTAATCTTGACTTCTGATATAGGTATCAAAAGGGAAGAAGAGCAGACAGATCTTTTCTTGCATATGTAGACAAAGAGACAAAGACTTCTGGTAGAAGGCAGAGACATTTTCTCCATGCCTTCACAGAATTATTTCCAACTCCTGGCCAGGTCATAGGAGAGCTATCCTTCTATTCCCTTGGTTAAGAGAAAGCTGGAAATAGAAACAGGAATATTCCAGGCCAGGCATGATGGCTCACACCTGTAATCCCAACACTGGGAGGCCGAGGCGGGCAGATCACTTGAGGTCAGGAGTTCAAGATTAGCCTGGCGAACATGGTGAAACCCATCTTTACTAAAAATACAAAAATCAGCCAGGCGTGGTGGTGCACGCTTGTAATCCCAGCTACTCAGGAGGCTGAGGCACAAGAATCACTTGAACCCGGGAGGCAGAGGTTGCAGTGAGCCAAGATCATGCCACTGCACTCACATCTGGGTGACAGTGAGAAAGAGAGAAAGGGAGAAAGAGAGAAGGAAGGAAGGAAGGAAGGAAGGAAGGAAGGAAGGAAGGAAGGAAGGAAGGAAGGAAATGATTCCAAAGACTTTCTTTCAGTTGCTTCATTGTAATGTTAAATAAGATCCTAATTTATAAAAATTTACCACCATAGTAAATCTCCCTGATACCATCACTCTTAAACCTTTAGAAATGCTAGAGTATCTAGCTTCTCTAGATCAATAACCACAAAGAGGCCTAAGTGCTGACCTCATAAAAATAAAGAGTTCCCATGATTTACACATTACGTGCTTTCGTGAATATCTATGTATAAAAGCCTATTTTCCTCTTGGACTGTATTACAAAAATACGTATGCATTTTCATAAGATTCAAACCCAGCTCTAAATGTAAGATGCTGAATTAAGAATGTAGCAATGTATGAATGAAAAGGAAGGAAAAAAGCCATTGCTAACCACAACTCTGTGCAAAACTCCCCGTCATCTAACGTAGGAATAAGACATTTATCTTGGCTTATCTAGAAGATGGCCGAAGAGGAAGAGCTCCAGCCTCCAGCTCCCAGCATGAGTGACACGGAAGACGGGTGATTTCTGCGTTTTCAACTGAGGTACCGGGTTCATCTCACTGGGTGGTGTCGGACAGTTGGCGCTGGTCCGCGGGTGCAGCCCAACCAGCGAGAGCTGAAGCAGGGCAAGGCATCGCCTCACCTGGGAAGTGCAAGGGGGAAGGGAATTCCTTTTCCTAGCCAAAGGAAATTGAGACACACAACACCTGGAAAATCGGGTAACTCGCACCCTAGTATTGCGCTTTACCAACGGTCTTAGCAAAGGGCACACCAGGATATTATATCCCACACCTGGCCCAGAGGGTCCCACGCCCACAGAGCCTCACTCATTGCTAG